GGAACACTGGGTCTTGTGGTCCAAAATATCTGGAAGGCTCCAGACTGGAGAAGGCTGCTCTCACAAACCTAACATGAAATGTGACCACGATAGTGCTTGAATAGCACAGGGCTGGCAGGACTGGCTTTCCTTTTCCTGTTGCTTTTCATGCCAAGCATGGAACAGGTCTGCAAAGAGTGCCTTTTCTCTAGGAGCCGCTCCCAGAACAACAGGAGACGAGGAACACTGAGGCATGGAGTTGTGGTGGATTTATTGTCGCTACTCAGCTAGCCCTCAACTCCATTGTGCCATGCAGAGGCTCCATTAACCTTGCAATACGATGTATCGCACCCTGTGCATTACGCACACAAATGTGACGGGCTGCAGTATCTTCTGCATTTTGATGAAACTCTAAGTGTTATGAAAGATGTTCCTTAAAGGGTGGACGTGTTTTTTGTTTGGGGCCCTGATGGACTGCCTTGATTCTGACATGTATGTCTGCCGAACCGCAATTGACACAAGGCCAATGCTTCTGAAGGATAGAGAAAAATCAATATCAGACGTCAAGGGAGAGGTCAAATTGAACTTGTTTTCACAATTGCCTTCTATGCACTCTAAAGGACACCGCAGCAGCAGAACAAAGGAGCAAACCAAGCCAAGGTCTACCGCCCCAGAAAGGAAAGGAAATGAATCTGGCTGGCTTCGTAATGCATGTATTATGAATCTGAGCCAGACTCTAGCATGGTACAATCCCCAGACATGGGGAGGAACAAATGGAAAAGTCATGGCTACCCAATGAACTTTAGTGATAGATATCAGGATATAATCATAGACTTGGAACAGGCAAGTAATTGGCTGCTGTGACATTTCCCTACTCAGTGGAAGAGATAACACTGAAGAGGTCATTTCTGTAACCCGGTTGTTAGGGGTTAGGGATTGATTCAACAGTGAAAAGCCTGTGCAAACTACTGCAGAATCATGCTTGGGGGGAAATGTTATTTTCTAGGACAATGATTGGGATTTAAAGCCTCTGAAGAAAGACAATTTCATTTCTCACCTGCACTTAAAAATGGAAGTAAAATAAATCAGAAGGTGGGTTGTCCCTGTCCCTGGTTGCCCTAACACTGGGGTTATTATGTTTCCTGAACTCAGCCATACTAAGAAACCATGGTTTAATATCATGGCTGGCTTTAGACAGCACCACAACCTGCATTTCAGCAACAACCCATGGTTCAACAACAATCCACACCTAGGGTAGATACAAATATATGATTTAAAATAATTAAATAAAAATAAAACACTTTTCAAGGAAAAAATCTAGTTTTCTATTTAAGATACATTATAGTCCAAAGGTTATTCATCATGAAATAAGAATTTAAATCAATTTGATTTAAATCAAATCCAACCTGCCTACACACAATGTGCACTTAATTTTTGAGGTGTGTTATCATGTTGCCAGATTCAAACCAAATGTCAGACGGTTTGCCACAAACTGAGGCAAAAGTTTCTAAGCATCTTTTCTTAAGCACAATGGGAATAAGGAAATGTGGTAGCCTGAGGCTTACCACTGCCCATTCTCATACCATGCACATAAACTAAGGCTCTCCTTACAGGTTTGGAAGATGGCAACTAGGAAGAGGGTCTTTTTGGTGGTAGCCCCACAATTTCTGAATGATCTCAAGGCCTGCCTGGTGCCAACATTTTTGTGCCAAGCTAAGTCCTTCCTCTACTCTCAGGCATTTGACAGCATATTGTTAAGTTTTGTACAGATCATTGATTTTATGATTTTTTAAATTGTATTTTACACACACACACACACACACACACACACACACACACACACACACCAATGTATATGCATATGTACATCAATAAGGTCATGATTATCGAAACTACTGCATCCCCACTCACAATCTATGGGTGTGAGAGCTGGACAATGAAAAAAGATGACAATGAGAAAACTGATGCATTTGAAACATGGTCTTGAAGGAGAGCTTTGCAAAGATTGACAGAAAGACAAACAAGTGGGTTCTAGATCAAATAAAGCCAGAGCTTTCCCTAGAAACAAAAATGAAAAACAGAGGCTGTCATACCGTGGGCGCATCATGAGAAGGCAAGACTCACTGGAGAAGGCGATTGTGTTACAGAAAGTTGAAGGCAGAAGTCGAAAGGGAAGACCAAATATGAGATGGATTCAATCCATAAAAGAAGCCACAGCCTTGAACTTAGAAGAGCTAAATGGAGCTGTCCATAGGACATTTTGGAAGGCTTTCATTGACAGGACTGTCATAAGTTGGAGACAATTTGCCGGCACATAACAAATATGTGTACATATGTGCTTCTGTGCAGTCCATTTATGTTTGTAGACAAACTTTTTATATTGTACATAATATTGTACTTCAAAGGATTTAACCTTTAAAAACTGCCCGTAAACTGCCCAGAAAATTTAAGCTGGTAGGTTGTATAAATGAAAATAAAGAAATAAAAATGAAATGAAATGACACATTTGCCATCCTATCTTAATTGAGCCATTGGTCAAAACCGGAAGTGAATATGTAAAACAGTGGCCAATTGCCCAAAAGTGTACAATACAGAAAGGAGAAGGAGCAGTTTGGTTATAGTATTAAAATAAATATCCCTTACTCCATATTATAATCAAGCCATTCCTTTAAAATACAAGATTTGTGTTTTAAATCAAAACAACCATTCTGATTAAATTGGATTAGTTTGTTTTGATTAAATGTCCCTATGAATTCTTGGTTCAGATTTAAGAACTTTATGTTAATCCTGAGTCAAATTAAATTAAAATAAATTACTCAACTCCTAAAGTACTTTTTTTGCATAAGAGTTCAGTCTGGATTAAATGATGCATGTTATTTTAAGTAGATAGGAGTGAAGGATCAGGCAACATCTATACCAGAAATTCTCAGTGTGAAAATGTTATTCTTTTAATCACTCATCAAAGATTCTCTCACAGACATCAAGATGGTGACGCAGCTTGTGTAATGAAACAAGCAATGGTTTAGCACATGGTCTGTCAACCATGGATTGTTTGGGAGTGCACTCGAGCGAGGAGGCCTGCTGGCACGCAACTGCTCCCTCACTTCCAATCAGCTAAGCAACCCAGGGATGAACCTTCTCTGGGATTTCTTCATGAGATCTAAACTCACAATGCCAGTTTGTTGAAGGATTGTAGCTTACTCTGGGTTGCTTCTCCTCTAGCAACTCAAAGATCTTGGTCTGGCATCGCTGAGTTGCTTAGTGTATTGGAAGCAGGTGAGCTGTTGGGAGAAAGCATGCTCACTCACTCCAGTGCGACCCCAAATAACATATGATTGACAACCATGGATCGTTTCATAATGTGAACCAGGTCAGAGTGTCAATCCACCAAAAACTGTGAATATCTAGTTTTGTGTATAAGCGACTTGAGACGTTTTCCCCTCCCAATCTAAGGGGGAAATGCATCTAAACTGTGTGCTGGAAATCTGGGTGAATTTACAGCTAGAGAACTTCCTCTGGAGGACTTGCTTCTTCCAGATAAGCTGGGGGGTGGGGGGGAGGTCTCCTCAAGAGTAAGTAGGTCTTGCAGGGAGAAACCTCACCTTCAGTCATGGCCCCAGTGGTTGCTGTTGCTCAAAATACAGGCAGGTGACAGGAAGTGGAGCAAAAGTGCCAGGGGATACAGGTATTACACCCAGATAGTCTCCCCTCTTCTTACAGTCACCACTTCACCAAATTCATGCAGAGTTCATAATGGTGAAACTGTTCAACACATTTGTCACATAGTTTGTGGTAACAAGATCAAGGAAGGGGACCGATGGCTATCATGAAGCAGTTGTGCAAGTGCATCACCTCACTTATCCCTCTGCATACATCCCATGAACCTGTAGTTATGAACATTCATCTTCTTCTTAATAGATATTAGTATAAGGTAAAGGTAAAGGTTTCCCCTTGACGTTGAGTCCAGTCATGCCTGACTCCAGGGGGCGGTGCTCATCTCCATTTCCTAGCAGAGGGAGCCAGTGTTTGTCTGCAGACAGTCTCCATGGTCATGTGGCCAGCATGACTAAACACCGAAGTGCACGGAACGCTGTTACCTTCCCACCAAAGTGGCACCTATTTATCTACTTGCATTTGCATGCTTTCGAACTGCAAGGTTGGCAGGAGCTGGGACAGAGCAACGGGAACTCACCCCATTGTGTAGACTCGAACCGGTGACCTTTCTATCAACCAGCCCAGCAGCACAGCGGTTTAAACCACTGCGCCACCTGCATCCCTAGAAATTAGTATGCGGCATGCCAATTAATCCCCACACCTGATTTTGATGTACCACAAAATAGTGGCAGGTCCCAAACTAGAAACTGGAAAGCTGGTGAGTACTGAAAACTGGATTTTGCAGGTGAGAATACAATGCAATACAAAAGCAATCCTTTAAAAAAAATTTTCCAGTCCTGACTGAAAGAAAATAGGAATTAGGCAAAGTCATTCTAGCCTTTGAATATTCTCCTTTATCATAACAGAAAACAATGGTATGGCCACTTTCCCCATGCATTTGAGCAACTGTCCATCAATGTGCTCATCATTCCCTCCTCCCTCTTCATCCCTGTTTTTCTGATTATTTTGAACTCTCAGTTTCACTTAATCAATCTTAGAAAGTGTCTGCAAATCCAGTAAACTAGAAATTACGGAGCATCCTGGCCATTACTTACTGGAGGAAGAGGCTAAGGTTTGGTTGTGTAAACAGAGTGCTACAAGGGGCTAAAGGAAGAACTAATCTACATACTAATTGGGCAACTGGAAGGGTGCGATTTCAGCATAGGATTGTCAAGCAAAGCAGAATGAGAAAGTATTCTACTAACATCTGGCTGCTATACCTCATACTGAGGAAAAACTAGGTAACTGATGACAAAGATGTTTTGCTGTCTTTCTCTAGTTTGGGAAGAGAAATCCCACTGGACAAAATAGTGCAAAATGCACTTCCCCATTCCTCCCTCCATGTGGCAAGCGCAGGAAATACTCACATTTGGAGTGCCTGTCACACAGGGCAGATGCTCGCATGTCGCACAGCCTTATTGTCCCCTTGCTGCTGCTGTAGACAAAAGTGTTGCAGTGATGCGGATGGAACTCTGCGGCTGTAATTACTTCGGTCAGCTCCTCCATGTTTGCTGGTTTTATATCTACAATATCTGGCACAGGTGAATCAAGGCAAAACAAACAACACAGAGCAGAGAGTCTCAACATTAGGGTCCTGGGTGGTGCTGGAAATGAACAGTGTCATTTTAGGATCAGAGAGGAATGGGTTGAAAGTCCTGTTCATTTAAGCAACACACCAGATAAACTTGGACCAGTTACTGTCCTTCAGAGACTAGCCAACCTCACAAGCATGTCATGAATATAAGTTGGAGTTAGTGACCAGTACAGAAGTGCAGTAGTATGCTTTCATCTATCTTCGAAGCCAAGCAGCACAAAGGATTTTGAACCTGGCAGAAATGATCTCTTTTTAAATAGAGACAACTTCCTGCTAGAAAAGGGCACCCCTCAACATTTCATATGGGTCTGCTGCTATATGAGCATCACTGGCTGCATTTTATTGACAAAAAGACTAAAAAAGTACTGTGTGATGAGCAAGACCCTTTACAGCAATGCAGATTCAAAGTAGAAATCCTCAACTACCCTTCCAACACTTCCTTATTTCCAGGGTCATCTTTCCTTTTCCTTCCTCAGGAAAGACTTCACCACACTGTCTCATTCAAGAGAAACTCTTCCACAGCCATTCTGCAGCTCCTTGGTGCAAATCCCAGGCTTCGTATGCGTATTTACTTAACATGGACCAGTTACTCCCCATTCTCCTCCTTTTCTTCACAAAGGTTGGTTAAAAGGAAGGTTAAAAGGAAGGAAGGTTAAAGGTTGGTTAAAAGGAAACAGATTTCCCACCCTTTCAAGATACACATGGGGTCCCAGCCTGCACCTCAGGGAAAAGGGATTAAATAATAGAGAAAGTGTGTGTCACTCTTTGTCAGAAATCTGGGCGTATCTTACCCTCACCTTCTAGACCCATTGATTCAATTTCAGTGCCGTCTTTTTCAATTGGAATGCTACGCAACTCTATGCTTGCTTCTGGCCCCCCGAGTCCCCGCTTTATCATCTAGTGGTGCTAGGGAGAGTGCTGCTTCTCAAGTATGTTGCTTTATCAGCCATCAGCCACGCGCTAGGCATTGATTCAAAATTACTCCTCACTCATTAGTCAACTACGCTGCCCCTGGCTGATGGTCAGTGCACAATAGATTTTCTAATTCAGAAAACAAAATCAATCAGTAACACCAGGGGAAATTGTCTGAAGAAAATAAACAAGGTGGTCAGCTGCAATGAAAGAGAGAGCTGGGCTATTTTTTCTCATGAAAATTAGGAGATATTAGCTCCTGTTTTTTCTCCTTTGTCCCTGCATTTCTTGTGTACTGAATCTGACTAGTCATGGCCTACTCCTTATTTTCTGTCAGCATCTGCAGGATAATGGTAAAAGAGGTGATAGTCTAGTGATTTTAAAGCTCCACTACAAGGACACTGAAGTGCCTCAGCTTTACAATTTACCAAAGTTATGGTAAGATATGGCAACTCTTATGGACCATTCAATACCTTAATCATTCAACAAACTACATTCAGGTGTCCTACTGTCTGTCATTAAGAACCTTCTCCTCTTCCTCTTAGCAAAAACACCTTGGCTTGGCATACATTAATCACATTGTTCCTTTAAGTGTTTTGCCCCAATAAATTAGGAAATTCAGTTCATTAAACTGAAGTCCGATTCATTCAGCGAAGGTTATATTCCACTTGTCCAATGAAGAACATTCCAAACTGATTTGTATCGGAGAGAGATGTCAAAATGATAAGGCTGTAACAGTGCTATTTGGGCATTGCAAAATGTGTGTGGGGGAAACCGGGTCAACCCACAACCCTGCCTCAGCATTGCATCCTGACAGTTTGACACTTGACCTTCTGACATGGAACAGGGAAGTGTGAGGGGGGCCTCTATGTTGCACTGTCCGGACACAGAAAGGATTCCCGTGCCTTCACCTTCAGCCTCAGAATCCTCCCGCAGGCTACATCCCTTCCACAAGTTCTCTGAACATCTGAATGGTGGTTTGCCTGCAGATTGAAACTGTCCTAAGAGGGATTCCACAGCTGCGTCCAGAGAATTCCTAGGGCTGACCATCAAAATTGCACAGCCATACTATTTTTTCTACTTTAATAGAACTGCTGTGGTAAGAAACAAGACAGAAGTGGGAAAAGGTGGGAGGGTTACGAGTAGAAATTATCATAATTTTGGCCCCCTATAAAATCCTGTGAACAAAACAAAGGTGATGGCAGAATTAAAAACAAAAAATAAAACACCTTGATTACTTCAGCATCAGGCCAGCATTTCTCCAACTGCCACTCTTGTTCTCTTCCACTTAAACATTTAATCTGATCAAGAGTTTTGGAGATCTTGAAATCTTTGATGTTTCATCAAAGATTTCATCAAGTTTCATGATTTCATTTCATCAAGTTCATCAAAACTTGTACCAAGTTTCTGGGGGTTTTTTTCTTCTATTGACCAACAAAGCTATGTATGCTTTTTCATAGACATGCTTAACAGTGCTCATATGATAGTGCTCATTAGCTAGATAAAAGTAAAATATCTAAGACATGTCATTGTGTATTAAGTTTCTCCTTGTATCCTTGTTTAATATAATCTAATATGAATCTATTAATATCACTATGTGATGGAATGGAGCCGAAATGTAAAAAAACTGTAAATCAGCAACAACAACCCACCCACTCACAGCCACTCTTCTGAGGAATATTTTATGTCTGTCAAACATGTTGACTGAGAGGAAACATTAAATGTTTCATGTTTAGATGCTCCACTCATTACTGGATGAGTTCTAAATCTGACAGAACATTACAATAGTGCTTTCCTGAAGAAGCAAAGCAACAGATCCTTTTGTATTGCCCATCTAGTGCCCATGATCAGAGCACATCCTGTTTGCCCACATCATGTCCATAATCTAAAGGAGCATCATTGCTGATGAAGAAGGCTCTCTAAGCCCCCAAAATGCTCACTTCTACCAGCCAGTTCTATGTGTCTGAATGCAGGATCCTTGAGAGAAGCCAGTGGGCTAGACAGCACACAGAGAGAAAAGGGGAAGGTGATCCCTTGTGAGGGAAGATATACTAACACAACCTTAGAGCACTCCATGCCAGCACATGGTCATGATCCTGCCTAGGTTTCTTTGTTTAAACCCCATAAAATAGGTACCACTCATCCCACAATGTTGCTCTCTGCTTAGGTCGGCCAGTTAATACTTTGCTTGTTATACCTTTCCATTATCCAAGCATTTTTCTTTTGCTCATGACCACAGGAATTTTGCTTCTGTTAGTTACATTGCTACGCTATGAATATTTACACAGAAGTAAGTCCCACCGTGTCCAGTGGGACTTCCTCCCTGGAAACTGTGCCTAAGACTATCCTGCATGCCTAAGAGAATTCCAGTAGGGGAGAAGGATGCTTCTGACCTCATACCATCCTAGTTAGTCCAGGGTCCACAGGAACGACTTGGGGTTCCTCCGCTGCCTTCCCTTTCCCCATCACAATCAAAATGGGCACCTAGGAGCACATCATCACCACTACCACCTCCTCTTCCTCTTCCTCCTCCTCCTCCACCACCACCACCACATCTCAGGACCTGTGAGCAACATTATGTAGAGCAACATTAAGAAGCACTGCAGTGAAAATGTGTGAGGGCTAATACGCGCTAAATAAACCAAACATAACAGACTCTAGCAAAAGACTCATCAACATTATATCTGCAGAGCAGCTACACCTGTCTTGGTTGAAGAAAGATTTGCAGCACAATTTGGATTGCAGCTGGGAATACATTATGAGCACTTTGAGATATCAGGCATTTTTTTTTAACAGAAGTCTCGCAGGGATGTCAGTGTCCACACTAATTAAATCTTAGCCTGGGCTTCTTTATTGATTTTAGTATAAGGAAAACCAGCAGTCAAAGTAGCAGCACAGTAAAAGAAAATCTCATCTCCTCCCACATTATCTGCTGACTTTCAGATTACAACTGCTTGCTTTGGCCAAGATGGAAGAGGCACTATTTTGCTTTGCCCCCCCCCCCCCCCCGCCCCCTTTGGGGCAAAATGAAAGTTGAAAGAATGAAAAGCCTTATGCCAGAAGTTATTTCTTGTCTTAATAACTGCTGTCAGGATCAAAAATTTTGCATTCAAATTCTGATTCAAGATAATCACAGGTGGAAAAAATCCTAGGGTTCAGGCTGGTTTAGGCATCCAAACATTTTCAGTTGCCTCAGTCCTTCAAAGTGGAATCCCCGATTAGTAGAGATGATCTTTTGATGACCGGCTTCCCCAGTTGTGCTTTGCTAGGGTGGCCACTGGTGTCAAGCAGTTTTAGATTTCTCACTACAAAAAACCCAGCAGGGAGCAATTCTGCAGGCTTTATGGGGGCTCAGTTTCGAGAAAGAGGGGAGGAGAGAAAGCACAGAGGCTTTCTTCGCCCCATGCGGAAACCAAATTAAGTCCCTGCTGTTAACAGGAGGAACGGGAGGATGAGAACACCCCCTTCCTGTAGGGATTACTGAGAAAATATGGTTGTGTGAAAAATACTTTTGTTAAGGTTGTATGATGGGGAAATTGGATAGTTGGACATACCTCCCTTGTCATCCTCTCACCAATGAAAACTCTGCTGGAGAGAGATAAGGCATCCAAGTCACCGAGCACGTCCCCTGCATAAGGCCTCCCTGAACAAGCAAGCATTGCTTTGAGTTGTAGGCCTTATGGATGAATAAAAAGTAACAGACCAGTGGTTAATTAGGACAGGTCTCTACCTGAAAGCTCATAAAGGACACAAGTGTGAAATTGTGGATTGTCTAACAAATATCTGCAACTTGTCCCTAAAATGAGTTTCTGCACTTAAAGGAATGAAAATCAGTCAATTCAAGGCAGATCTCTAAAACTGAATTCAGGAAATCACGGACTTGTGGTAAATGTGTTTTCATTTTTGTTTGTATACTTTTGCATTTTGTAAGCTACTTTTAGTGAGGGGAAAAAGCGGGGTATGACTTTCAATAATAATAGTAGTAATAATAATGGAGGAGGAGGAATCACAGCGACAATGGTAACA